AACCCGGTTCTGGGTTCTGCTCAGGAACCCGGTTCTGGGTTCTGCGCAGGAACCCGGTTCTGGGTTCTGCGCAGGAACCCGGTTCTGGGTTCTACGCAAGAACCTAGAACCATTCTGGGTTCCTGCGTGGAACCCAATTCTGGGTTCCTGCGCATGGAACTCAGTTTTGGGTCAGAACCCAGAACTGGGTTTTCTGACCTTTTTTTTTATTTTTTTATTTTGAATATATTTATCTTAGTTTCCTATTTTATGCAAAGCAATTTGGAATAATTTTTTTGTTGGAAAGGTGAGTTTTTTTGCTTGGAGATTGTTTTTGAACAGGTTGCCAATTGCCAATTTGAGTTCAAGTAGGATTAACATGAATGGCAATAACGGTTTTTTCATGTTTTGTGGGAAAGGGGTAGAAGATGCATATTTGTTTTTGTGCAGTATTCATTTACTTATAATTGTGTGGATGAAAATCTTAACTTAGTAGGCATTCATGTGAAATTGGTTGCACGAGGAACTCAGAACCCGAGTTCCGTGAGAAACTCAAGAGGACAAGGACGAGGATGGGGAAGATGATGCCAAGAATGAAGAAAATGAAGAAATTAAAATTAATTATGATTTAATTATAATGCATTATAAAAAAAAAAATGTGACATAACGTCTTGGTTCCTAATTCCATGAGGAACCCAGGAGGATGAAGAGGAAGATGGTAAAGATGATGTCGGGAAAGAAGAAAATCAGGAGGATGAAGAGGAAGATGATAAAGATGATGTCGGAAAAGAAGAAAATGAAAAATTAAAATAAATTATGATTTAATTATGCCATGTCATAAAAAAAAAGTTTACATTGGATTAATAAGATGACATAACGATTATATTACTATTTGATACCACGTATTACAATTTTTAACGGTTATTAATGGTTCCGTAACGGCACGTTAAAATATTGGGTTTTTTACGGGTTTTGAAAAGTGGAGGGTGTGAATAAGGAGGAAAAATTTTGGAAGGTGTTGACCACGGAAAAGAAATAAATGGAAGATGCAAATAGGGGCTTTGGCCTTTAACAAAGGAGTAGGCAGCCTGTTAATGAGATAAGTTGTAGTAGAGAAACTCTCAACCCAATACCTTAGTGGCATGTTTGCATGAAAAAGCATAGTCAAACTTGTCTCAGTGATATGCCTGTGTTTCCTTTCTACAACTCCATTCTGTTCTGGAGTTCCAGGGCATGAAACATGCTGTTGAATGCCACACTCTGCCAAGTGATTAAGGAATGCTGTGCTAGAAAATTCTCCCCCACCATCACATTGAAATATTTGGATGGTCCTTTGAAATTGATTCATAATCATCTTCTGAAATTTTTGGAAGATGGTGAAGAATTCAGACTTCTTATGTAGAGGATAGAACCATGTGTACCTGCTATAGTCATCCACAAAGATTACATAATATAGAAAATGATGAGTCGATTGAACAGGAGAGGGCCCCCAAAGATCACAATGTATTTTATGAAAAGGGAATTTCTCTCTTTCATTATTTTTTGTGAATGGCAATTTACAACTCTTCCCCATTTGGCAACTTGTGCATAAGTGGGGAGGTGTAGTCCATCTTGACACTACAATGTTTTTCTTTGAAGATAAATTCTTTAAAATGCGGGAATTGGGGTGTCCAAGGCGTTGATGCCATATGGTGTCAGCAACCTTATTTGTCATAGCTGCAAGAGCATATTTTTCCCCTTCATCTAAGGCATAGAGTTGGCCCTTTCTAGTGCCTTTGGCCAGTACCGCCTGTGTTATTTGATCCTTAACCACAAAACCAGAAGATGAAAACTCAAAGATACATGGATTTTCTTCAGTAAACTTGCTAATGGAAATAAGATTCTTTTTAAGATTAGGAACAACTAAGACATTATTAAGTTTTAATGGACCAACAGACGTGGATCCAATGTGAGTGATGTGCAAAGGTGTTCCATCACCTATATAAACCTTTTGCTTCCCATTATAAGGCCTTTTAAAAATAAGATTACTTGTCACTGAGGTCATATGATCACTAGCTCCAGTGTCTGCATAGAAGGTTTGATCCTTGTCATCTTCCAGAGTAATTGTTGCAAGTGCTTGAGGTAATTCTTCACTTTGGTAAGCATGATCAAACCTATACCAGCATTGCAAAGCAGTATGACCATTAATTCCACAAATTTGACAAGTTTTCTCACCTTGTGATGTCATAGTCTTTGGTTGAAATTTCTTCTGTAACATGCTTTGTTGTGGTGCAGGATTGCTGTTAACTAAGGGGGTTTTGGTGTTACTAGACCAGTTATAATTTCCAGCTTGGACAAAACCTCTCCCCCTAGAATTGAACTGCTTGCCACCATAGCCTCGACCTCTCTGACCTCTTCCTCTTTGGGCCATAAACACGTGTGTATACGTAGATACTTGTGATTTATGTTCTTGTTCCTGAACCTGCAGATCTCGTTCATTGTTTAGTAAGCCTGCAGTGTATTGATTGAAGGTAGGATATGGTGCTTTTGAGAGAACAGCAAGGTTGTAAGGCTGATAACGAGTGCTCACAACTTTGGAGAGTTGAAAGACTTTATCAAGGTCAGCAACAGGTTTGCGAATAGCAGCTAGATTATCACATGTCCTTTTAAACTTTCTGATGAAATCATCAAGTGATTAACCATCTCCTCGCTTGGTAGCCAGTTGTCCCTTGAGATGCAATTCACTTTCTTTTGAAGACGCCAGATAATGCTCTTTAAGGCACCTCTAAATTTGTAGAGCTGAGTCACAGCCAACGACCAAACTAAGTGATTCTTCATTCATGGTTCCAAGTATCCAACTGGTAAGCAATTCATCATTACTTAACTAGACATCATATTCTGGATTACCCATTTCATTGCCATCCTTGATGATAGTCTGCACTGGTGCTTCTTCTTCCAAATGATGGAGAAGCTAAGCACTTCGAATCATTGGGTAAACTTGAGATTTCCACAGCAAGAAATTGGTACTTGATAATTTGACAGACACCAAACTTGCCATTTGATGGAAATTTTGGATAGTGAGAGTGCTTGTGTTCTTGGCCATGAAAAACTGTTGGATAATCGGAAAAAAAAAATATATTGAGAAAGCAAGGTTCAAATAGGATATTTAGATGCAGTGAGCAACCTGCTTTGATACCATGAAGAGTTTAATGGAATAAAGATTTTGGGAGAATACTGATTCTATATTCAGTTGTGTGATATTCTGTACAAGCATATACCAATATATACACTTATAGGAGCTAATCTAGATGCTGTAATTAAGGTACAGTTAAGGAAACTACAGATTGCTTTACTAATATAATTTGACCGTTGCTTTCAGAGATGTTGCTTCTGTCTCTCCTCAATTTCTGCTGTGTGAATGATTTCTTGCTTGTTTTCATTATCTCTGGTCTCACGCCTTGATTGATTTTGTACTTGTGCCTTCATATATATGTAAACAAATATATTTGTGGTACGTACTTTTTGATTAAGAACCTCTATCGAGGTTGAACCAGGGTAAGGGTCACCTCATTATTAGAGCCAGTGCCCCCGCTTGCATCAACATTGTGTGCCTTCTTCACCACAAATGCAGGCTGGTTCGGAGGAGGAAGGACCGCTTTATCATTGCCCAATGTGGAGACAACGGTAGACATTGTCGGTCGGTCCACTGCGGATTCTTGCACACACAGCAACCCAATCTGGATGCACCTCAAAACTTCATCCGCCAGAGACGATGAGTATTCCCCTAGGGATGAATCCACTATCTCCATTGCCCGACCTTCTTTCCACAAGTTCCAAACCTGCAAAAAATAAAGAATTATAACTTGTATCCTATATACTTATGAAATTAACATGCATGATATTATTAAGGTATTGATCCCACATTTAAGGAAGATATCATGTGACTTTGAAATATTTCATTTTCGAATTCGTCGTTCTCACTATATACTTACATGTTCTATCAAATTTAAAGTTGAGCTTTGATCAACATAGTGGCTACTGATTTTTCTGCCGCTGATAATTTCTA